GCTTGGGAGTTGAAAGTTTGGACATGTGCTGCTTTTGCATTTTGTTTCTTCTCAGCTGTAAATCTGCAGAAATCTAAAAATGAGAGTATGAAATTCATGACTGCCTGAACGTGTTGTCGTTGTCTCCCTGATGGCAGGAGGAAGGGCTGACCCCACAGACAGCTCTTAGTCATTCTGACTGCTGTCACGAAAGAAAGCATACCAATAGTTCCCAAACACTTTGAAAGACCAGGAGAAATTACTCTTTCAAAGCCCTGTTTGAATGTATACATTCAGTCTGTGTTTTATTCATCTTCGCTTTTAGAGTTGTTCTCTGCCCTAGAAGTCCCGGCTGCTTCTCAAGCACTTAGCATCATCAGTTCATAGGTTTAACATTTTTTGCACCCTTTATATATGCCCATCTTTCTGCTGAAGTATTCCGAAGAGGCTTTTGTTCTTCTGGCTTTTCATATCTAGAATTCAGAGGTTAAAAAGAGACCTCCATGTTCCTTGGAGATGGTGTCAGTCTATGACCAAGAGTCTCCAGCCATAGTACATAGACCTCAAAAAGTAATTACCAGATGAGAAATCAGCTGCTAGCACATTTTTATTTTCACACATCACTGACACCCTGGTGGCACTTATTATCATCATGTGCTCTGCCTCTCCTGCAGACAATTGTATCTCTGAGGATGCAAAGCCAAAATGTGAAAGTGGGATTTTGTTCTCTTTTCCTCCTGCAAGTGATTCCCATAGCATCACCATCCTAAATGGCAGACCCCTTCCCTCAGGTATGTGGCAAACTGAAAGACAGACACTGAAGATGTCATGCACCCACAGTGCTGTCTGAGATGGAGCAGGTTCTCATGCATGCTCTGAATTTTCAATTCGTATCCAGAGACCCATTTTGTTTTCAGTCACTCAGGAAACAGCCCCACAGAAAGAAAAAACAGTAACCTTCACTGATCAATACATTTGTTTTAAGGCCTCCAAATATCATCACACAAACTTAGTACCTGCATGGCAGGCTGTTTATTTTGTGATGGTAATAGAATCTAATGAGAAAATAATTTTAGGATTGTGCAAGGTCAGTCTTACACCAATCCTGTGGTGAATTGGGCAAGTACAGACACCCTCACTCTTCCTGCAGGCATGCAGTTGCTTAGCCTATCATTCCTAGAATGTTGGGATGCTGGAATGCAAAATAAGGAAAACTATAAGGCTTCTAGCAAGTTGTCACCGCCAGTCAAAACAGGGCAAAGTTGAGGCTGTGTTATTTACAAAAACAGCAGAAGAGTTGTGTATATCCATATCCCCAGGGAAGAGTGTTGTGCACTGCAGCCAAGGTTTCCTGTCCTCCTCCTTGTTGCTAGGAATGGAGTCCAAGGCCCTTTTCTGACCCATGTGCCAAATCCACTGTGTGTTTCTACCCAACATCCTGCTGCACAGGAGTTCACTGCCTTTCCTTGGAGAGGACCTGGAGGGCAGGTCCATGATCAGCCTCCACGGTACAGTGTGCTGGCTACTCCTGTATAATGCAAACTTAGATGGACCCAGCTTTGTTCAGAGCACCAGTGACCACCCTCCCTTCCTTACCAGCCGTAAAGCAAAAAGCAGTTCACCTGAGTTGGAGGTGAACTTTTTTAGATATTCCAGTAAGCTGTATTGTTATAGCTCTCTTCAAGGCAAGCTGCATCTTGTCTCATCAGGAAAGTTTAAGGTAAGTGCTGAGCACCTGTGGCCATCTCATTCTTGTGCTCAGCCTCTGCCTGTGGGAACAGGGATGGGAGGGGGCAGCAGAGGAAAAGGAAACTTAAACTGAAGTGCTAACTTAAAGCAGCATTTTGTGCCAAGAGCTCAGGCAATTCTGAATCAGAAGCTGTTTGCTTCCCAGGGGCATGATACCCTAAAAGATGTGGAAAGCAACAAAAGTCCTACAATTCTGTAAGCCTTGCACCACAGGCAGAGCTGGCCAGTACCCCACACTAGGAGCACCCATCCAAGCAAGGATGCTGGTGGGACAGGCAGGCTCTGCACAGCAGCTGGATAGAAGGAAATAATTTTCACAGTGCAAGGTGTTAAAATGCTGGACTAGGGACCCAGGAAGGCTGCATGACCCTGGAGACTGCAGCACTGAAAGGATGTGGCTCTGAACAATCTTGGGAGAAAGCCCTGTTTGAACAGGGACAGGACTGGTGACCTCCAGGGGTCCCTGCCAGCCTCAATCACTCTACAAGCCCATAGTAAAAAGCCAGTCTCGTGCCAGGTTTCAAAGTACGATTGGTGACTGGAGCATGAAGAGGCCCAAAAGTTCTTGAATTCAGCACAGAAACTGCCTTTGGTCTCAATGGCTTTTATTTTAGGATAAATTTGACCTGGCAGTGTCATTATTTCAGTGAATTATTGACAAATTTTGTCACTGGGTGCAAACTGGTGCTAAATCAGCTCTGTGCATGCAGTGGCCACACTGGCTGGTTGTTTCTATGCAGAAGTTGCTGGGTTCAGCTGGTCTCCCTGTTCCTCTCTCTCACTCATTCCTTGTGAGTCAATGAGTGATCATTGCACAATGTTCCTCTGCAAATGAATGTTTGAAGAAGCCTTGGCTGGATTGCACAACCCTACTTGGTCAATACCTCCTGGAACACTCCTGTCTGCTGAGAGCTCACATGAGGGCTGGCACATGAGTCACAGCGTGACCATCTTGACTAACCAGGGGAGGCCACAGATCAGCAGGCTGGGCTGCCTCCTCTTCACCTGGGCTGCAGCATGAGGAAACCCCGTGGAAAAGCCAATAACCAAAATCCCATGGGGTCTTTAAAATGCCCATTTCATTCCCATATTTTACTTCTTTTTCTCACACCATCCGAAATGTCAGATACCTGCCCAGAGCAGTGCAGGATCCTGGGCACCAAGGTCCAGAGGAAGGGACATGCTGAACTGCTCCAGCAATCTCCATGCTGGAGAATCAGCACTTTGCCAGGGTCACCAAAACAATGGCATGTTTGTTCCAGACTGTTTCTGTGTGACCCTGGTGCAGGCAGAGCCTGAGTGCCACCACTGAGCTGTGAGCTTGGAGAGGCAGCATCCTTCTTTGTCCTGAGTGATCCAAAATACCATCATATGGGTCATCTCCCAGCTTATGTTCCCTGACGAGGGACAGCTGTGGCCACGTCACCCCTGTTCTTCAGAGATGTATGTTTAATGAAATGTTGCTGCTGGTTTATATGATGGGACTGAACCAGCCAGTTGCCCCACAGCCTCTGAGCACACTCTGTTCTGCACTGAGCCATAGCACAGGGACTTCCTTCCAGGCAGCTCACAGCCAGGCACAGTAATTTGCATTATTATCAATAATCTCTGGGTTTGGGAGAGCCATGGCAGCTCTTGCAAATCAAATTAGAGCTTTGAAGTAGGTATGCCAGAGGAAAATGTTGCATTTGCAATTTGAGAAAAACCCACATAAAGTTGCAAGGCACTCCTTGCATTCTAAAAACTGGAATCTACAAGTCTGATTTTGGGTCTGGACATTAGTAAATTTAGGTCTGAGCCCATTCAGATTGCAATGATTTAGCACTCTTTCCACAAGCTTCACTGACCCTGCTCTATCCCATACTTCTCCCTAGCCCCAAGGTCCAGCTGGTGACTCAGATGTCCCAGAACACTGTGAGTTGCTGGAGTGCTTCACTTCATCAATCAGTTGCTTGACCCTGGCCAGTGCAAAGTCCAGTTGCTCTGCAGAAATATCCAGCAGATCAGTCCTACCTTCTTTCCTTCCGTGTTTCTATTTTAACCTCTTACTCATCAGATTACTCTTAGGCTCATTGACTGTGAGTGTTATAATATAATGTTAACCTGATCAGGCCCAAGGATCAGGGGAACATCAGGAGAGGCCCCAGTCCTCCCTTGGACATTCAGCACATCCCTGGCAATGGAGACATGTTGGGGGACAGGCTGAGGGCAGGGGAGCTGGAGCATCACTACTCCCCTACTCCAGCACCACTGGGGCAGGGGCTGACAGCCCTGGCAGGTTAAAGTGGGGTCCTGGACCATGGGCAGGGTTGGGGAGCACTGGAGAGGCACTGGAGACAGCCACACCTGTGTGAGTGCCCTCAGGGCCCTGAGGGCAGCATCACCTCCCAGATCTGGAAACTTGTGTCTCAGGTTTAGCCCCAGCATGCCAAGTGCCACCCTGAGAGCAGCCCAGGCTCCCAGCAGGAGCACAGAGCCCTGCAGGAGGGTGATGGCAGCATGAAGGAGGGCTTCAGCTCTGGCATCCTGCAGACGTGCTGCCCAGAGGAATGCAGAGGTGCCAACAGCTGCACATAGCAGAAATAACCATGTCAGCAGTGCTGTCACACACTGCAAGCTCTGCACATGATATCCTCAAAACCAAGATTGCTGTTATTCACTGTTCCTCATTCTTGGTTGTTGTCCCTTCACAACGAGATGTGCACACAGCCCATGTTGGCAGATGCACAACACTGGTTTTCAATCTGTATGCAGATTTGGCTACAGCTGGGGCATGTAGACATGGACATTTATTTCCACCCCAGAGACTGAGAGAGGGACCAGCTTTAGGTAATACCCTTTTAACCTTGGAGATTCAGCAATAAGGCAGAGACCTTGGGCAACTTGGTCCAAGGTGCCCTAAATCTCTTTTGAATGTTATTGGGAAGAAACAATAGCAAGTTTGAGTAAAATACCTTTTTGTAATCAGAGCTTTGCTAGGCCTGATTCCAAGCTGGTGGAGCTGCACTGGAGGTTACTGACTTCCTGCATGCAGACAACCCAGTATTTTGTGTTTGCAGTGGAAATCTTGCCTGTGTCAAGACACCCAGAAGACACAGACCTGTCTTGCAGTTAAGGCTCCTGTTTCCATTATCCAATCCTGAAAAATTGTTTTCAAATTCAATGAAATTGAATTCAAATTCCCAATTCTGTGGGAATTTGTTTGTTCAGGGAAATTTAAGTCTGTAATGACTGAATGACTAAAAGCACACTTAGAAAGGAGAATTAGAAAGTTCTGTCTGCAACAGCCTGAATTTATTGAAGTTATAACCTGGTGGGAATTACAGCTAGGATAACACTTGTGAAAATGACAGCAATGTAAAAAGGGATTTGTATTTAATTCTAACTCCTTTTGACTTTCAAGTTCTAATCTGGTTTGATACACTGGGCAAATTATTAAGTTCTTTACAAAGACTTATTTTAAAATAATTGCACCATATCACACATTGTAATAAATATACAATTAACCAGACACTATCAAACAATCAACATGAATAAAACTGCTGTACATTTAAAACTGATGGTGAAAATTTTGAATCTTTAGTAAAAATGCATTGATGAAAATGCCTATGCTACCTGATTTGAGTGACAGATAGAAGGCAAAAAACATATTCTTAGTGAAAGTACAGGGTCATCTTGCACTGCTTGTAATTATGTGGATTTCAAAGGCAAAGACATGTTGTTGACAGCAAGACAGAGATGGAGTTCTTCTACCGGTGGCACCCCTATGCACTGAATACATCAGACAAGACCCAGTTTATTCAAACTGGGTGAACAGATACCATAAAGCACAAACAGTCTTACCTCCAAACAGACTGAGGTGTGTGCAGGCCTTTCAAAGGCCTTGTGCACAGATGTGATTCACACCTGCCATTGTTTATTATAAAGTACATGTCCACTTTTTTGCAAGCTCTCTGGATTTTCTCTACTGTTCATTTACATTCTGCAGTGTCGGCTGGTTGCAGCTGAGAGGTTCTGAGGCTTGATACTTCAAGTTTTCCAGAGGATGACCGTTCTCCTGAATGCTCCTTTTACTTCTGCAAATGACCTCTACCGAGAAATGCCGTGTGTTCAGACACCATCTACAATTAGCCCATCTGCCCTATGTTGAAGGCCACACTCCAGAGAACTTCCAAGGTCTGCAGATACCAGAGGATCTCACAAGGTAAATTATCCAGCTCTTCCAGGATGACAGCAAAGACAGGAAAAAAACAGCATGGCACTTAGGAAAAGTCTGACTCTTTGACAATTGGAACTGGTGGGGTTTTATGGTCAATTGGTTTATAAATAAAATTAAAATCTTTCTTGGTTTCACTCTTCAGAAGGGAGGCTTTGATATGATGTGGAAGGGCATCTTTGTCCAGCTGCAGCCACTGGTCATCAACATAAACAAAGAGTCCATAGTCCTTGGGATGAGACACTTCAAACTTCTCGGCACACTGCTGGCTCAGCTGCTCAGCTGTGGTGTCGCGACGAGAAGCAAGTGTCCTTGATTGACCACTGACTTCCAGAAAGGAGATACAGATGAAATCCTGAAGAGAAACATGAGGAGAGACCTTGCAGTTAACACAGTTAACCTAGGACTGAAGGAGGAAGAATTCAGTCACAAAGCTCTAGCTGCCTATAGCTCCCAAATATCCTCCAGTCATTCTCCAATGTCCTAGTTATTCTCTCCTTTCTTTCCTCTGTTAGGCTCTGAATCAGAAAATACTTAAATAAGCACTTTACCAAATAATTAGCACCATAAAGACACTGAAGTTAAAGTGCTTTTTTCTGATTTTACTGAATATTCTTAGAGAATTATCTGCAATAGTTCATTCTCCCACCTTTTTACAGCTCCTGAAGAAAGAATTTGCAAAGAAGTGACAGACAAGAAAAACAGACCACAAATGTCAGAGATCTGACCTGAAAACCCTGTTTCACAAAAATGGGATAGGGCTAGCAGTGTTGGGGGCCTTGCAACTTCACAGTCACCCAAACAGCATCTTGAGAGTGTGTCCTCTGAACTTCCTTCCATCAGTAAGGAAATAGCACAAGTTATGCTGAGAAGGCTGATTTACTTGTATCCTGTTTCAGGCAGTAACAGCTGTTGTGACAGCTTTCATCTTAGTAAACACATAAGGAACAGACTCTACAGAGCTTTTGGTCACAGTGGAACCTGTGTGTTTAATTTGCATCTTTGAACTTCAAAACAAATCCCAACCATTTTGTTCAGAAAATAATGAGGTTCCCTGGCAGAAGGGGAATTTCCAAATGCGTGCACTATGGGCTTCCAAACCACATTTAAGGAGTATCACTGCAGTGGATTAAGACGGCAGAAGGATGGACAGAGGCCTGCTGAACATATCAGCAAGTGGTTTAGCTCTGCCACAACGGGCTTTCATGCTTCTGATACTACCCCTCATTCAAAGGGGTGGAAAATTACCCTTCAGCTTCTGGAGGTGGTGGGAATCTTCTGGAGAAATGTGTCGCTTGTTTGCTCAGCTATTATGCTCCATGCTAGGTACTTCTGTGAGCTACTGCCAGAGCAGCACTCAGGGCTGGATGGATATTTGCTGTATCTCCATACACCATTCACAGTTTCTGAGGTCATCAGGGACTGGTTTGACTTAAATATGGGAAACCTGTTCAACTCCATGCTTTCACATGGACTACTCTCCCCCACAGGAGACTTTCCCTAGGCTTTCCCCTCGGCATGCACAATTTTCAGTTCTGCACTGTGAACGCTGCAGAATGTGAGACGTGGCCTTTGCTGCCTCCCTGTGGGCGACAATTTGATCACAGCACATGGGGCTGGCAGGGTATCCTGCCTGCCTGGACCAGCCTCACCACAGCTGGAGGCCCAGAGCACTCATTTGTCCTGGGACTCTCTCCCACTGGTGCACGGGGAGATATTTGCCAGGCCATGCACAGCATGGGCTTCAAAACTAGCCCAGCCTTGATGGGTCTTTCCTGCTGCCAGAGGGGGTCTGGAAGATGCTTTACTGACTGGCTCTTGGGATGTCTCAGACTCTCCTACAGCTTTATGCCATCTAGAAGCAGCCCTGCATAATCTGCTCACATCTCAGTTTAGCCCATGATTTCCCCAGGCATTAAGAACGATGATTAAGAGGGGCTTCTGAGCCCCCACCACAGCTCCCACATGCAAAGGCTCCTAGCACATCTCCTTTGAGAATGAACAAAAAAATCACTTTGCAGTCATATTTAAAACTATAATATTATAAGGGTACTTCAAGATTTCAAAATTTATTTCATACGTAGTATGTATTTCAAATGTGGTGTGTTTTTTAAGATCTGGAAACCTTGCCCCAGATGTACTCTTCATTTTTAATAGTGATTTCAATTAATTTAATTTTAAAATAATTACCATATTAAAGATTTCTAAGTATGGAGAAAGCATGCAGGCTTTCCCCTAGGATGGAAATTATAATGGTGGCTACCTGCACTGATGAGCGGGAAGCCCGGGCCTTGTTCAGCGTTCTCCGTCGCTCCCAGCGGTGGATGGAGTCCTGAACCTCCACACTCAGCTGCCGTGTCACAGTGATTTTGTCATAGTTTTTGATATGCTCCAGGACCCCGTAGGTGGTGGTTAAATAATAGGAGCCTGCAAAAGGTGAAAGCTTTGTATGAACATCACACCTTCATGGGCCGTATAGTCCCGCTCCCACCCTGCCTGCTGGTGCCCACCCGGGGCAGCTGTCCAACCTTGCACTGCCTGTGCCACATGGAGGGAGCGCGGGGGTCACGGTGTTAACCGAGTGATGGACACCCTGTGACCAGTGTCCTCCAGCCCCTCCTGCTCCACAGCAGTGCTGCTGCCCAGACTGCTGGGGATGGAGATGTCCTGGGGGAGGACACAGGCTGAAAGGAAAGAGCTACAGAAACTGCTTTCACAAACAAGCCCTAGCCACAGATGTTTATTCTTTGGGCCATGGCCATTTTTCTGTTGTGTTTGATAGGGCCCATGCAACAGGTCTGTAACTTGGGCTCCTGAGCAGACTCCACAATGCAGGGAAATAGAAATAATAGTAAATTGCTGCAGGAGAGGCACAAAGCCTGGGTCCAGCCCCCCAGCTCCAGCTACACTACTTGCATGTTTGGATTTTGGGGCTCCTGTGGGCTCAACACTATTGAGGGACATATCAGGCCTGCAGGAACAAGTCATCCACTGTTCCCTGCATTCTCTATTGACTACACAGGCACCCCAGGCCTTCATCTGTAATTCCTGGACTGTCCAGGGCTGCGGGATAAATCTCAGTAACGCAGAGAAACAGGGCAAAGCGGCAAAATCCCCTTTCCCTCAGAACGCCGTGGCTGCTGTGGCGCTGCTTGCAGCAGTAAATAAATAACCAGCTGCAGCCACGGGGCGGCGGCCGGACCCCGGTAAAACCCGGCTGCAGCCACGGGACGGCGGCCGGGCCCCGGTAAAACCCGGCTGCAGCCACGGCCGGGCCCCGGTAAAACACGGCTGCAGCCACAGAGGCGCAGGCGAGCCCTGACAGGACACAGACGGTGCCCGGCTCGCAGGCCAGCCCCGAGGCAGGGCTGCTCCAGCTCCGCCCTCAGCGGGGCCCGGGCTCGGGCAGGGTCGGCCAGCGGAGCTGCAGGGCAGCGGGGGGACACCCCCTGCTCCGGCCCCGGCTCCCGGTGCCTGGCAAACGGGGACAACCAAGAGCTGTCCTGGAGGGGTTTCAGCCAGTCGCAGTGACTCTAGATGGCACTCGCACATCGCCCGCCCTCCGCAGCCCGCTGGCTCCTCAGGCGCTGCTCAGCCCATGGAGCTGGCTGGCTGCTCCAGGGAGCAAAGACAGCGCTTGATTTAAGAGCAGGATTTTTAGAGCACCATGAAAGTTTCTGGAGGAGAGGAGAGACCAAGACACTGCCATTTGACTTCCTGTACTCTGGTGGATCCATGGGGGTGTCCTACAGTTTTGAAGGTTTTTGGCCAAAACACTCATTTTTCTTTACTGTCTCCCACAGAGAGGTGTTGAGAATAGACTAATAAGCCTAAAAGTGCCACTTTTCCTCTCTTAAATACCCTCCTTTGTCTGTCATTCAATATTTCTTCTCTTCTGGCTGAGTCACGGGTAGCTGTAATGGGACCCAGAACAGGGTGTATCCCCTTCCACAGAACCCTAGGAGGAAGAGCTCTGGGTCCCCCACAACAGGAATTAATCACAATTTTTTTAAGAATTAAGTTTTTGCCCACTTCCAATTTCTTTATTTCCATCCAGTTGTTCCCTACTATCTGTCCATGTCTTTGCCCCAGCATTCAGCATCAGTGTTGCTATTAAATTAATTCAAAGGGTATTTTTCATTTGGAGGCAAAATTGAAATGATTTTGTATATTGATTTATACAATTTCACAGTTTCTTTCACTTCTGCTTTACTTCTTTCCCTTTAATTTCTGTACCTTAACACCTTTTGGTATTCAACTTTGAAAGCCCTAACTCAAGTTAAATTTTGCCAGTTCGACATTTTGCAATCTCAGAGCTGTCTTCACTGAGATGTTCTCTTTTTTTCCCCCATTCCTCATATTTGCAGTTTCTCTCATTGTCCTTTCTGATGTGATTATTCAGTCAGTTTGATTTGGAACTCCCTCACAAAATTTTTCCTTTTTACTGGAGTGAACATTTCACAAAGTCTTTGCATCTTTGAGTAAGAGAATTTCCAGCCAGCTTTGCTTTTGATATCCTGAACTCCCCAACCCAGATGACTTCAGTAGCCAGCCTGGCAGTGTGCCCCTTTGGAATGTAGAACCTATGTGCAGAGTAGTCACCAAAAGCAGCTTGGTTATGTCCACAAAATGCTGTGTTTCAGCTAACATTTTTTTCTGCTAAGAATTCTTTTCAGCAGAAAAACTAACCTGTGCAGAAACACCTTATTAATGTACTGTATTGCTACTAATCATCCTATTAGTACTTACTTTTGTCCCATTCTGCACTGTGCTGGGATGACATGCTTACTTTCAGACTTATATCCTCATTTAATGTAAATAAAATTAGTCTGCTGTTGTTCATCCAGGACTCCTTTATAGAACCTCAGTACTTACCAAAGCAAAGTCTAAAATAAACCCCATTTTATTAGTTTAGTGACTACTTGGTGATAAATGATCTGTGTTCCTAATTCAGAGTGTGTAATTTTCACTTGGGAAGCGTGTGCTTTCCAAGCTGTATTTAAGAAACTAGAGGCCCACAGTTCCCTGGGGCATTTATCTCTCTGATAACAGAGGTCTTTAGTCACTTCCAAACTCAATAGTCCTCTCTAACCTAACTTTATTTTCTCTGTCTTGCTATGATGCTCAGTCAGAGAACATTGTCAGAAGGTTCACTCAAATTTAGGAGTAGAGTGACCACGAGAATATAGCCCTCAGGCATACAACACAGTTTAAAAAATGTGCTCTTTTCTCACTGAAATAAATAAAAGTATCTGCACAATTTTTTTGCAGCAGCTGTTTAATTTTAACAAAAAACTTTCCAGCTTTTCAGCCTTTGGGCCAAGGAACACAAGATGTCTCTGTTTAGGTTGCTAATCCAGTACCTCAGTTATCGTTTATGATGAGTGCCTGCCTTTCTAGCTCGTGTCTTAAGGCACTGCACTGCTAAAAGGAGTTAAAGTGTTTGGCAATAATTCTAGAGATTCAGATTTGAAGATTGGCCAAAGTATTATCCACAAAATCTAGCCAGAGCCCTGCTGCCTTACTTTCACAAACACTGGAGTGAGACAAATGATGATTTCCAAAGTGAATATCCCAAACACTGTACCCTTACCTTCTCCTAGCTGCAGAGCAGGGTCCATGAGCTCCATCATATACTCCACATTCAGAAGGACTTCAGTCAAGTTGCTGCGGGCCAACACATACATGAGCACAGGGAGGAAGTCATCTGCACCATAGGGCTTCCCTGAGCAAGAGAAACACAACATGGTCCCAATAACACCACAAAATCACGTTCCCACTACAGTGTCAGATTCTCACACAGTGAGCCCTTTGCAGACTTCAGCTTATATTACATGAAGAGTTACAGCTCAAAAGCCCCAGCAAAGAAAAAATTATGAAACCAGAAATTTAGATTAGAAAGTAAATAAACTTGCTTTGAGCCCAAAATAGTATCTTGAAAATTAACTGGAGAAATACAAACTTAACTTCATTGATCACAAACAACTGGCAATTTTTGAAGAGTGCCAAGGCTTTCAGCTTGTCCCTCTGATTTCATACTGACATCAAGACTGCAGTTCTGGTTGGCAATATTAGTAGGGAAGTTGTCTACATGCATTAGGGGTATGTATTCTCCTAGGCTTACTCTATGTGTGATACCAAAAGACAGAAAATAGAATTTGAGACAGTGGTTTTAGGACTGGGGACTTCCATGTTTATGTCCCTTCAGAAGGCAAAACATCATACTGTATGATCCTAATTGAAAGAGTCTCTCAAGAGCTAGGGTCCAAGAGGAGACATCTTTCTAACTATGCTAAGAAAACAAAGATTTTCACATTGGACTTTAACCTAGTTTTTGAAATCGGTGTGCAGCAGATACTCAATATTTCCCATTCTTAAAACATTCGTATCAACTAAGTTAACAAAGTGAATTAACATACTGTATGTAAGAGCTCTTTGGGATCTCTGAGGACAAAAAAAATGCATGCTAACATCATAATTATAAATAATTACTATTTAAAATAGAATCCACACTGAGGCTTCCCTTCATAAACCACAAATAACACAAAGATAACTTTTTTCATTTGAAAGATACTTTCACTTTCAACCAACATGTCATAAAGTCATCATGGAAAACCCACAATAGCAAGTTTCTTACCAGACCAACATTCAGAATTGACCATTCCTCTTAGCCTACTCTGCTTTCATTCTGAATGTCTTTCCCCAGACTGTGGGGAGTTTTTTCTCACCTGTGCACAACTTGGATATGTTGATTTCATGGACTATGTGTGTCTCACTTGAGAACTGCTTGTCTTCAAGGAATCAAAGCTACCCTTGGTGTAGTTTTGGTGAAATTACGCTCTAGCCATTTTTGGCCCATAGTGCACATCCTCTTCCATGGTAGGGCATACATTCCTATTTCTCAAATGTTCCCACTGACTTATTTCAGATATTTGCCATGAGTCAGATTTCTTTTTTTGTCATTCAGAGCTGACGCAGATTCTCCACTGGCAAAGAAAGATATTCTTCTGAAGCCTCAAATAAACATGAGCTTAGCCCCTGATTTAAAAAAAAACAGTGTGGCTTTGAAATAAACCCAGTAATACATCTAGTGAACAGAGAGTTGATCCATTTAAAACCAAGAGTTAGAGAATGAGAGGTCATCAGGGCTGTAATTCAGTCTGTTTCTAACAGAGCCCACACACGCCACAACATAGACTATTTATTTAATGAAAGCTGGATTAACGCTTTCAATTCTGATTGCTTTGTTATGGCTGCCTTTAGTTAAAAGACACAGCCTTAGGTCTTCAATTAAACTATAAATGGACTTCATTGTTCCATTAACATCTGGAGGGACATATTTTTGTCTGTTGTTCCCTTGGCTTCTGTCTCTGTGAAAGCTTTAGCTCTGTGAAGGGTCTAATTCATTACTGTCATATACATTACCTTAATACAAGCAGCTTAGTATTACAGCAGTTTAATTTTCCAGGGTAGGAAAAAAAATGACAAAACTGAAACATGAAAATGTAACAGAAAAACTTCACAGCAAAAAGCCCTATTCTCCTTTTGCTCCAAATACATAAGAGGCCAACAGAGTTAGTTCTAATTCAGACGAGTATAAAGGAATACAAAATACCAAAGATTTGTTCGGCTCATTTTTCCCTTCATTGAAAACTTCTTCTTTGTGATCTAGTAGTTAAAGACCAGCATGGATAGAAAGATTCTAGTTTCCTGAAGGCCAAGGGATTTCCAGTACAACATCAGTAGCAGAATTTCCCCTACTACTTCTCTTTCATGACTAATTCGTGTCATGTCTGATAGGGCATCAAATAAAGTTGCTGCTTCACAGTATAGATTCATCTTCACTGGAAAAAAAAAAACCAACAAAAAAAAACCACCCAAAAAAACCCTGGGGTTGGTTGTTTGTTGGTTGGTTGGTTGGTTGCTGGTTTTTTACATGTCACCAAAACAGATAATGAACAGAGAACTGACTGACCAGATAATGCAGAATGGAAACAGCAGCTTGGAACTAAACAATTCCATGTCCCCATTCATCAACTTCTGGTGGCTACAGAAGTGAAAGTTAGAGGAAAATTCTCAAGAATGCCTACAGAATCTCTCTATTTCTTTTTTGTTGTCTGAGAAGTTGTTGTATGTACAATCATGCATAGAGACAATTCTTCTTCATGCTGTTTATCTCATTTCTATAAGCTGATTTAGCTGCTCTGCCCTCCAGTTATTGGTATAAACTCTTCTCAACTCTAAGACTTCACAGAAACATTATTGGACTCCCAGCTGTTTATATGCCTTAAATATGAAAATCTGATTTACAGTTTCTTTTTGAGTAATACATGCTGAGCAGGGATGTCTGACTGAAATAATGGAAAGAACACATATTCCATATCTGTATGCTCACAATCTGTGTAAATTTCTAGACACCATCTTAATCCACCCATGGCTGTATGACACCCAACTTTAAATACCCATGTCCATAGCAAAAGCTGTGTCAGCAGTAGCAGAATGTGTCAGCAAAGGAACAGCAAAACTAATCACCAGTGATCTAGTTCTGACTCCATTTGGTGTTTTTTTGTGATGCCACAAACTTCCAGTGTGGCCAAGGGCAGGTCAGGCATCGTCTATTGCACATTGTAAGCATCTCAGTAGCATCTCTGCACTGACTGCACATGGAGAAGAGCCTGAGAGGGCAGGACTCCGATTCTCCCCTGTTCTCCTGGCCCCTCCAGGTACAGGGACTAGCTTTGACATGTACAGCCTTCAGACCAAGCATGGCCCTGAGGTGCTCCATATATCAGTCCATCCATAGGGAAAATAGGTGCTGTCAGCAACTCAAATATGGCCAGAAACAGGAGTCTACAAAGATAGATGAAATAATGCCTATGAACCAAGGCACCTGAGAGGTTGCTTCAGCACCGTATAACCCCCATGCTTCCTGTGCCATGAAAAGACCAGGGCACTAACCAGTGTCCATCTGGGAGCTGCAGCAGAGGTATTCTCTGCAGGCTGCTGCCTCCTCAGCTCTACTTCCAAGCTGGGCCTGAGCCAAACCCTTGACCTGTATGGCTTGTTCCATCTGTGGTCTCTCACAGAGGGGAATTTTTGCAGCTGACAGAGTTAAATCTTGCTCTGACCCTGCCACTGCTCTCAGTGACAGTGAGGCTGATTTTGCCTATTCAAGGTGGTGATGTCCTACTCCAGATACGACTTGCTTGCTTTATTTCCCCTTCTTCCCTGTGGGGTCAGGAAACATTTATTTCATAAATATCTCTAAGAAGCTTAAAATAAGCCTTCTCCCACAAACTCATCCTATTATGTTTATAGCAAAGCAAATACAACGTCAGCTCCTGGCTGGGATACAGCGCTTGAATAGATGAGTACTAATTAAATACATGATTTAAAGCAACTGGAATTCTGCCCGAGCCTCCATAAAGAAATTACAGCCTATTTTAACACATTCATGCATTTCTTTTCTCTCTGTATATATTCTGAAAACCAGCAGATAGGGGTGATGCCTTGCACCTTGCTCTAATATTTTACAAACACTAGCTTGATGTCTAGGAGCAGATCTCCACAAAATATGAATTTTAGCCTCAGTTTGAAGCTGGGAAACCTGAGGTGCAGGAAGGCTAACTGGGATTTGTTCAAGATCATAAGAAAAGATTGTGACTTTCCTTCCATACAGTAACATTTTGCTGTCTCTTGTCTATCCCTTACTACTTTCATCAAGGTTTAATTTGTGATATAGTGAAGTAAGTGAGTTAATAGATGCAGACAGCATGAATTCACTTCAAAAATGTATGGCGTGGAGATCAGAGGAATTTGCTCCCCATGAAAAATTTGAACTGGCTCTTTGATTCAAATGTAGAAATTGTGCTAGATGGCACAAACCTCAAAATCTCTAGTCCATCAGTCTTCATTAAAAGTAACTTAAATACTAATATCCTCTTTTAAAAGATATCAAAGTAAACCTGTTATGTATAGCTTTATTTTCATTCTCAGAAGTGAGATATGATAATAAGCACAGTAATGGGATTGTTCTGACAGCTTTAGGATCTTCTAGCGTGGGCTCTTCACTGGCTGCTGAAGTATTGGAGTCCAGTTTCCTTTCTACAAGCTCAGCTATCCCACTAAAGACCAGCTTTGCTTTTGCCAACTGCAGAGCCTTATAGGAGAGCATCAGGGCAGGTAATATCTGGCTGCTCAGTTCTGTAGGGGTGATAAACTTCATTCTAAAAGCTAAGGAAGAGAAATATTCCAATGGAATATATGTACTATTTATCTTCTTTTATCTTATCTGCTTATCTTTTATCTTATCTGCTTTTTCCAAAAGCAGACTATGCACATTATCCATGTAAAACTATGCAATAGAAATCATTAAATCAGATGTTTTGGTCACCTAGCCAATTCCACAACTAGTACAAACTATAGTTTTGAACTATATAGTCCAGCTGCCTGTGCAGTTCAAAGATAGTCCAAAAATGAAACTTCATAGTCTTAGCTAGTTCACAAGTTAGAAATGTTGCAGTAAAAAAATTGTACCTCCATTCTTCTTGAATCTCCTTTGAAATCATTCTGCCCACCTTTCAAACTTCTAGCCTAAACTTAGAGCTTTTCCATCCTTGATCTTTCTCACTCATGGTCTGACTAAATTTGGCCTGTTTGTCTCACAGACTGTCTCCATAAACAAATGCCTATTGCTGCTTTGTTTTTCCATCAGTTCTCTTCCACAGTGGCAGCTCCCAGGCAGCACAAGGCTGGGTGACCCAGGCTCACCACTGCCAGTACACACCACATGTATTGCAGATTTGCATCGTTTCTCACTCTACAGGTGTCACTTGTGTTTTTGATGAAAAGCAGAGATTCTCATTCTACTCATATCACAAAATACACCTTTAATCTTTTGTCCGAGTAAAAGTATTTCTGAAAAGCACATAAGGGTTTTTTTTTCCTATATAACATTACTGTGTTTCTACATAAATTGGCTATGTGCCCAGTTGTCCCTGTGCATATTGCAGCATGCCTTCCAAATTTAAGAGCTGCATGATTCCTGCCTCTTACTTTTTCTAGTGCTAAAAAAAATGCCAGCCATTTTGTGGGGCGTGGGTTTCCAAAGTATATTTTTTTTAATGCATTTTATTCTTACTAACCATTTCTAGTATTTTTAGCAGGCAGGTTACATATTTTCAGATTGTCAGTTATATTCTTGGAGGCATATGTTTCAGTTATTTAAGTTTGCATAGAAGTTGGAAAAGCTCAATAAGACACCTCAATACTGTCGTAATTGTGCCTTTGGTGAGGATTCACTTAGTAATATCACTGCCTACATAGTACATATGAGTGTCTGAACCAGGGTCCTTAATTTCTTTTATAGCCTGTAATGAATTAATCAATATAACCACTAGAGTTTGCCTTGAGTCATCTCGCTCTAAAGCAGAAACCCATATGCAGCCAGATGAATCATCTGGACTCCATGGACTGAACCCACAATGTGTGTGATGGGAAGCTGGGCATGATACCCTTCTGTGGCCACCTACAGAAAGATGTAGCCAGAGATTGGTGCTACTTCAACTCTGTCATGGAGCTGTACTCTGTGGTCTCTTGAGAGAAAGGTGTATGACTAAGACTGTTATCTTCCTGAGTCCTTGTGATGAATTGCCTCCAACTTGAGGAAGAAATGCTAGTTTAAACCAGTTTAGGATCTGACCCATTCAGTTCTTAGCCTTAAGTATCAGGGATTTCAACCAGAGCCAGTTTATCAGGCAGAATTTTTCATGTAATATGAATTGTAATCAAACTAAATATTTCCTCCTTTCTTAAAATATCTTGATATACATGGAGTCTGTCAAGGCAGACTTCAAAGTTTCATGTCTCTTTCAGCAGGGAAAAGATGGGTACCACCACAGATGTTCCTGAGTATGACTGTCCTTAGTTTTAAAGGAAACTTAGTACCTCTTGGGACATCCTGGCCAAACCTGGAGTGCTGTACATGAGTCTAAAAATGTTAAAACTTGTATTTTCATATGTGTCTGACAAGAAAAGCTGCTGGATTAGGTGTTGTTTGCATTTTGCTTTGAGAAATGAAACCATATTCTTAGGCCAGATCATCCTATGGCAGTCTAAAGTGAATAAAACCTGGCTTGAGCTGACAAATTGCAAATTAAGCCAGGCAACACAAGTAGTTTCCATGTTATTGAACAGGTAATGTTTCTGACAGAGGTAGACTGATTTTGGTCCTGTAGCAGAGGGAATTATTAGTATTGTGCTTCACCTGTTCTGATCTTGGAAAGGGAGGGACCTTTCTGATTTAGCAGTTAGGAAAAGGAACAAAAAGGAGAAGAAGCTATTGCACAGGAAGCTGAGCATGGCCTCTGCTCTTCCTGTGTGAAGAACACTGTGCTGCCTCATGGCTGGCTGAAAGCAAAAGGGGTCCTGTGCTGTTGCTCTTGAGATGAGCAGAGAGCAGAAGGAGAATTCCCATCTGCTGAAATATTCTCTGAGGACCCCACAGCATGCTCTTCTGCATGCCACCTGCTGGAATTCCCTCACCTGCTGAGAACTTGTCTTTGCCACTGGAAAATGAAAGTGATCTGGGTTCAGTTCATTCTGTGGAAGAGGTTTCACATATTTCTCTTCTAAGTGGTTCTAGAGGGCATTTCACTCAATTTCTCTCCAAGTCTGCTGTTTTCCTGGAGTTAGATACAGCGTTCTTCTCCCCTTAGCTTCTTTTTCAGGTCTGAATTCATTGGGGTACATTTCCATAATTCCAAGCCAGTTTTCTTCAGGCCAAGCCTTGATATACATCACTGATCATGTATAAGGGAGAGGGAACTCGATATAAGGGAGAGGCAACTGTATGCACAGGGGTGAAATCAGCTTCCAACCTACACCCTGCTGGCAGTAGCACTCAGGATGAGGAAACAGCTGAACTGGCTGAAATGCACTGCTTTGGTTAGCGTAGAGAATCACAATGAAACCACTTGATTTCATGAATGTCAATATTTTAAGCATATAGGGGTTTTTAAATTATTTCCCTGACTCCTCATTTCTGTTACAGAAAGTGACACAACATTATTTCCTTCAACAGAGAAATTCCAGCCCTGAGCTAAGGTGTGATGTATACGTAACATACCAGCGGCATCAGGAGGAGACCATGTGGGTTTTAATGAGGCTTGCAAGTCCTTGATCTAAACCAAATTTATTCTCAAACTTCACACAACTGTTTTAACAAAGTTACAGCAAATTCCCCTACATATGTCCAAATCTCATAATACCTGAAGACAGTGAGAGGTCCTTTCCACCTTGCAGCTAAGGCTCAGCCCTAGGGTGGTTTCTTGCTCTGCTATTAATGTGTCTAGACTGGTTGCTAAACCTTACTGCTTACCATCCAAGAGATCACCTTGAGGTGAAGCTCAGCAGGGGCATAACAATCCCTGTATGAATGCTCCAAGGATGTTGCCAGTACAAAACAAAGCAGAACAGCTAAAAGCACCTTTGGTGACTGTGAGTTCTTGAACAACCTCAGATTATTGCTTCTCTCCAAATTCAGGCATGGCTGGTCATCAGCTCACATTATATAAAAAAAGCTCTTAAACTGGCAAGGCAGATTGCTGGAGGAAGGGACTTGCTGGCCTATCTGCAAAGATGCATCCTGTCTACAGGCCTAGGGTTTAATTTCTGCATTAGTGGTTGGCCTGAGGCCCAGTGCTGTGTTTATACTCAGAGCACATACTGCCTCGCACAGAAGAAGTGGCTTTTAGAATTTACTGAAGCATCAGGAATTAGTAACAAACTAGCATTCTGCATCTCCTCCTCAGTTTAGGCAAAACTCCGTAAAGGCCAAAATCAAGAGCCTTTTACCAAAGACCCATTCCTAGAATTTACCATTACTCTGCTGCAAGCTGGGACAGAGCCCTGAGGATATTCAGAGATCTGTGTGAAGACCCATGCAAAAAGGATATTATCCACAAAACACACACTTACAGGTAACTTGTTTTTGAAGTTACAGAGCTTAAAGTTAACCAGGTAACATCTTATACCAATTATTAGTGCAGAGAACTTCACCAACCATTCCATTCTGAACACAGCCTGTGAATGTCTGATACCAAACTCATCAACCATCACTGCTACCTCCAGTGTGAATATTGCCATGCCAGCTGTATCATAAATGCTGTTCCCTTGATACACGGAGAAAGACCCACATTGGATACCATTGCAGTAGGAATTCTGTACCTGGATTTCCCTGAGCCATGGAGTCATAGATGAGTTTGCAGGTCTTCAGCAAGATGGCAATTTTCTTTTCCGGAGAATAGGTCTTGTGCATGGTTGTGAACTTGTGAAGGATCTTTTCCAGCACAGCAGTATCAGGCACACTGGTTGTGACACCCAGGTCAGTGGTAGTCGTGTTTTGTATCACAAGTTGGTTCTCTTTCAGCTGCTGTAAAGATCCATCTTTGTTGTGTATTTCTTTTAAGGAAGAATTAATGGCTTCTTTTAGAGGTTTCAGGACACATTTGTACAAAGCTGTCTCAGCAATCACTTCTGCATAGAGAAAGAACACAAAAGCATATAATAAATAGGCAATTTATTTTATTACAGTAAATTTATTTTATTACAGTAGTACCGGTGCAAATAAAAGTCCCAAGGAAGTGTGTGGTTGGTTATTCAAGCACTACTACATAGCTGTGAGAACGGAACAGAAATTGCATCCCAGAAAGTAAACATTTCATTACCAACCCTATTCAGAAGACCTAGATAGGCTTGAGATGAATATCAGCGTGTGTGTCTGTCACTGGAGCTGTAGGAGACCTCCTGCTACCAGCAGTCCCTGCTCTCTTTGCCTGACCCCTGGCTGGCCAGCATGGCATTGCCAGGCAGCAGGAAAGCCAGCTCTGGGGAGAGAAGAGGAATCTCACCTAACTGTGATTTTTTTTCACAGCCCTGCCCTTACAGATGCCCAGATGCAATTCACCTCATGTCCCTTCTGACCTCTTCTTCTGTTTGAGATATTCACTCTGGGAGGAAATTAACTGCACCCTCAAAGCACCCCTTTCTTTCCTCAAAGCAGCTGCAGCCACCAGCTCAGATACAGACACCAATATCTGGTCAAAGTTTCTCATTGTTATTGCCCAAGGAACTCTAAATTACTGATCTTTTAAGACACCTCTTATGCCACCTGTGGAGGAGGACATAGTATGATGTGAGGATCCTGGGGGGCGTTATCCTGGTTTAGGAAGACACAAGGAGCTTCCCTCAAAAAGCTGTTAGACCCTATTTGCTCCTTTCCTTGTTCCTATGTCTGTTCCTATGTCTGTTCCTATGTCCCTGAGCCACTCCCTCCTTATTCCCTGATTGACCTTCATCTTTGTACTGGCCTGAGACCTGGTTCACCCCTAGAACCCTGTGGAGAGAGGAGGGAGAGCTGAGACATGTGAGTGCTGGAGTTCTGAACAGCTCACCATGTGCTGAATTAAACATCTGTGGATGCCATGAAAAGGCCCTTTCTGCTTCTTTACCCTGGACTTGTAGCAGTTCAGGCTGCTACAGTATGAGTATGTTGAAAATTTGCTTAATATTTGGCTGAAGATGAAAGGAAGCTTAAGAGACTGTGAGGAAGTCTGTTGTCCAACTCCTAAAAAACAGAGACAAAACTAGAGGGACTGCAAGAGATTCTCTTGTTGCACTGAGGCAAAAAGGTCATTAGCAAAAGAGTTCATCTGCTTAGGGAGTGAGTGAGGAATGAACCAGAGAGCAGTAATATTTATGTATCCCAAATGCAACTATTTACAAAAATCCAGAGAACCAATCAGCCTGAAGCAGGGCAAATTCAAGTGGTAAATCCTCCAGTGGGAATCCCTTTCCTCCACAGAAGAAGAGAGTCCTGTCAAGGTTGACTGGGCTACATCCTCCTGTTAAAGAACTATCAGTGAATAGGGTTAGATACAGGGTCAGATCCAGGCATGTCTGTGGGAAGGTGGTGGGATACTTGCACACATACAGCTCCACGAAACAGAACAAGGACACTTCTTTCTTCCTCCTATCCACTTTCACTAATCAAGATTCAAGACAGACTTCTCTTTGCTGCCCCCATGGTCCCCACCTTGAAGAAAGAGGTTATTGGGACAAAGATTGAAGGTGTTACACAAGGTGCATGAGAAGTGAAACTGCAGGTTCCCTCTCCTAGCTATGACAGGGGCTGGCTGCAGGTCTGTTCTGCTGGGGATCTGCAGAATCATGTGAAGCCTTTGCTGAGGGAGAATGAAATCAGCAGAACCCACTGAGACTGACAGTGGATAGCCTTTTACTCCTGGCTCACCACTTAGCTGAGTCCCACCTAATACTGGAACTGCAGGATCTCCTGGAATCCCTGGTCACTCCTATAGTTTACTCCATATTCTGGGTCTTCCAACTCCCAGCTTGTTTTAAGCCAATTTAAGAATCCACAAATAGCTCTGCATTGGTTCTCAGGTCCTCAAGAAACAGTTTCAAGCATTCAAAGGAGCATGTGTGCGTGTGCATACATACTTTTTCTGCCTGTACAGCTTTCACTGGGATGGAAAGTCCTACAGCTCTTTTTATATTCCCTCATGGATGTACATTAAACAGACCAGTCCAATCCTTAGCAAGAAGAGAAGTAGCACATTATTCCCTCGCAGGACATGAATGAGAAGCAATGAAGCACCTGTAAACAGTTTAAAATAATATTTTTTCTCCCCAAAGGCATTATTTCTCCCCATAGATATTATTATACCTATAGCAAAGAGATGAACACTTCATTTTGGATCTCACAGTAGTCTTGCAACAGACATTTCTTCTGTACCTCTGAGCTCTGAGGAGCACAAAGATGAATCAAGTGATTCCTCCAACCAGCTACTCAAAATCATCCTAGTCTTGTCCCTTCCTGTGAACAGTGATTGACTAAGCTGTAAGCCACATGCAGGGAGTGCTCCATCCTCGTAGCAAAGCAGTGAATGTGGAAGGCCATGGGAATGCAGCTGTGAAGGGGAAATTTGCCTTTTGTGTTTCCAGTGAATTCAGCTCTGTGTGTGCAAACCTATGTGTATACATAAACATACATGCACACACATGCACACACACACACATATCTATAATACACACATACACGTATGTCTCTCATGCACACACACATCTTTTCTGCTTAAATTCTTCCTTTTAAAACATTCATAAAGGGATTTTTCTCCTTATTGGTCTCCAGGCTTTAGAGCTGTTCCTCCAAGTGCTGGCAACCACAGAGCAGACTTCAATTCATGCTGCTCAGGTTTTAGGAGATGGTTTATAATTCTGTAAAGCAGAGCCTGTGTCTGCATAATTCTTTCTCCCTCCTCACATTCCCAAACCATGCCCAAGGATGAATAAACCACAGTTACCTACCTAACTGTTCCTCGGTGTAGGAGGCTGGGTCTATCAGAGATTTCAACTCAGTGCTCTGTACTAAGTAACTCTTCAGCTGCGTCATCATCAGCCGGATCTCTTGTAGCATCTCTGTGCTGGAGCTCTGCTTTGCCATCATCTCTAAACTGTACACTCTGTAGTCCCGCACCAGGTTGCCGAAGTATGACTCCTTGTCCTGTGCCAGCTCCACTATCTTCTTCTGCAGCTTCCTGTCACTAGACAAAAAGACCGTGAAGACGTTGGACAGGTTCACCAAGGACAGCCTGTTTTTGGCCTTGGCCAAGATCACGGAGCGTGTCTTTTTACCAGATGAACCACTCAGCATCTCCAGGTCATCCTCAGTGCTGCTGGTGGAGTAGGAGTCTGGCTCAGATGTTGATGCCTGAGCCATGGTGCTGCCTCCCAGGTCCTCCAGGGACAAGCGCGACCCTTCCAGTTCAGCTGAGCTGACAGATTTGTGGCCATGTCCCTGTTCAGGCTTGGTGTGTGCCCAAGTGGCACCACCTGTCACTGGAGCTGGGCTGCCCTTGCACACAGCCTGCCCTGTGGCCACGGCTGTCTCTGCTGCTGTTCTTTGCTTCGACTGGCAGGAGCTGGGGATGCTTGGTACCTGGGAAACTCTCTTCCTTCTCGGTGGTGGGATAGGAGGTGACTTTCCTTTCTCAGTGGCATTGCTTTGTATCTTAGGCATGTCCTCCTTCTTCTCTACAGGTTCAGGCTTTGTCTCCTGAAACTGTGATACAGCCCTTTTGGGAACCTCCCCAGGCATTTCTACAGCCTTTTCGCACAGCCGTGTTTTATCTCTGCCCTCTGCACTTGTATCTTGGTTTTCTTCTGTCCCTTCCCCTTTCAGCATTTCACAATTTTCAGGATTACCCACACAGCTCTCCTCTGAGGTTCTCTCACTCAGCCGCCTCCGCGGGGGAACAGAGGGCTGGGAGCCCTTCCTGGGGCTCACTGCCGAGGGCACATTGGCCGAGCAGCTCTGCTTCCTTTCTTCTTTATCGGCACTGCCTTCAATATTCATTTCCTTGAAGCTCTTTCCTAGTGGCTTATTAAGAAGCTTGTTTTCTTCACAGACAGTCATGGGGTCCTGTGGGAGCTTCAGGGAAGATTTCTGAATGAGAGCATGAGAAGGTGGAGGGGGAGGAGGCCGTCGAGGAGACCTCCTTTCAGTAATCATGGTGGCAGGAGGGAGTTCAGTGCTCCCAGAGTGGCCCTTAGGAGAAGGTATATCTGGAGGACAAGGATTACTGCACTCTTCTATAAAAATAGGATTCACAAACCACAGCCTGTCATTTCCTATTGACAGCTCAATTTCACATGAGCAGTGGTTTGTGCTACTTGCAAAACACTGGGTTGGTCTTAAACTGTCTGCCTGAGCAGTGCTGAAAGCAGAGTCTTTTGCAGGGCGGGATAAGTCCTGTCTTCTATGGTTTAAATAGGAATCCCAGAAATCTGTCAAAAAAAAAGACAAAATGAAAATGAAAAAAATATCTGAAAGAATTTTAGCTGCGACTGATATGTAGAAAATCTACTTATTTTTAAAATAAATGGCACACAATTTTCAATGTCAAACTTTTAAACCTCTGCCCAAAATAGTGTGAAGAAAGAGTTACCTGTTTTATGCATATAAAATTCTTCAAGTTGGAAGCTTCACCAGAATTCTCTCCCCTGTCAATTTTAGGACACTTACCTAGTGAAAGTTGTTAATGCTCTTCAGCATTTTCAGTATGAGCAGGAAGGTACAAGTAACAAATATAAAGGATTGTGAAAAGGGATCTTTGCTTGTTCAGTGATCGCTGCCCTCCAAATGCAAATAGCTGTGGCTACCCCAGGAGAGGATGTGAAGAGCCCAGGCAAACTGCGTCTTCCTCTTGCTCACAAGAGCAAGGTGCAGGTCTGAGATAGACAGCCAGGATCCAACATGCACCAGGAGACAGCAACTGAGCATGACTCTACTATGCAGCAAGCTCATGTGGCAGTCTGTTCCACAGAGGGTCTGATCCTACCTGGCAGGATTCCTTCCAGTCTGGAAACACATGATTTTAAACACCTTCCCCAGATTATTATTACCATTAAAGTCTATAGTTCTGGATGACTGTTATCTATAGCCATGGCCACTCTGCCTTGCCCCTTGCCCGGAGACTGTCTGCCTGCAGGTGTCAGAGAGAAAGGATGTTGCAAAAGACTACACAGGAAGGATGTATGATGAAGGACCAAGGAATAGGTAACTACTTCAGTGCCTTCAACTACAACTGAAAAAGAAAGATGGTGTTTCACATACAAGCAGTCATTTCTGACAGAAATCTCTTATTATAATTTGTCTTTTAGTAACTGTTTTAAAAAAATTACAAAGCATTGGTACATTTTTTAGAAATAGATTCAGTATCATTTCCAACTTTTTTCCTTTTCCCTGAAGGTGAGGCTTCAAACCTGCCTTCCAGGTCTGATTGCTTTCAATCAATATTAAAGCTGCTGATCCAGGGCTCACTACTGGAAGCATCAAGAAACAGGATCCAGCAAACCTCATGCTCTGACCAAGGAAAAGGGTATAAACTTGTGATAGTATTCACTGGATGAGAAGTGTATAGATACCCATAGATTTAGGGATAAGGAGAAGATGGGAAATCCTGGAAACACAAGGATGCAGAAAACTAAATAACTATTTTTCATGCTTGGTCGCTAAACACAGAGCTGACACTGATGACACTCTCTTCTATGTGGATTTCAGGGGACACAATGGGGCTGCCACACAATGTCTGAACCCTGCCTGGTGCTTGGTGTCAGGAGTGTCTCCCTCCCAAAACCTCACATGCTGGACCCAAGAGAGGATGAATGGGGCTGCACACATGTGGGATGACCCTTGGTGCTGAGCATGGGGTACAGCTCTCAGGTCAAGAAGTGAGCTAAAAGACAGTCTATTCCCATCAGGATAAGCATGTCAGCATGTTATCTTAGGGTGATGGACATTAGAACAGCTTTATTCTCTGTTTTCCTACTGTGAGAGGGAGGAGAACAAAGAAGCTTAAAATAATAGTGTTGCTAGGAACAAGAGCACTCTTAACAACAGAATTTGGGAGAAGACATGCAGATGCAACTGCACATACTAATACCATGCTGCAAACCCCCTCACATCTAACACTGGCTGGGGTACCATTTTCCTTAAGCTCTCCAGCTCTATGCAGTACCAGCAAATGCAGGACAGAGGAAGTTGTTTCAAGCCAGAATATAATGCTGTGAAGTCTCATGGGCTGAGGAAATGGTGAGTAAACCAATCTACAGAGGGGAAGTTGATAATTTTTCTCAGTAATGGTCAGGATAAGGCACTGTGATGAAAATGCAAAGCTCCACTCAGGCTGGGAAGGAACAGATGTGGTTCTACCAAGTAACACAGCTGCTTCAGAGCAGGCATTTCCCAGCACAGCCACACTGTCTCACACTGCAGAGGAGTCTGTTTGATCATCTCCCTTTGCTGTCCTGGGTCTTCCCTTATCTTGCATTCTGGGAGGGATAATTAAGTAGTTCTTGGAGTCTTTGACATGTTTGTGACGGTATGTGGTATGCTCTTTGTGCAGTGCAACCATGCTAATCCTCCTAAAATAACTTCTGTACTAGTGAGGTCAGGACTAGAGAGCCTGCAGTACATCCTCTATGACAGCATACAAAACAGCCAGATCCTTTGTGGAAGAATTCAGTTTGCAGATAGACATCTTACTTCTATACCCTTGAAATACATATTACTTTGAAATAAATACAAAGAAACATATGAGAGTTTCAGACAATTCTTTGTTTCCTTTGGAAGTGCCACTTTGGGCAGCAAGTAATATTTTGTGTTCCCATTCGTATTCACAAAATTTTGTTCCAGGAAGCAATAAACAGCATTTGTCAGTAGCTGAGCCTGTTTGATTCCACTAAGAGAGAATTGCACTTCAGGATGCTAGCATAATTTCCCAGGAAGACTGCACACAACAGCAGGTTTTCTTCTATTGTCAGAAACTTGACTGGTATGAAATACACCATGACAAATAAATTTTCAAGCCTCACTACTTTTATGACCACCAGTACAGGAGAGAAGGAAAAATATTACAACCAATATTGCTTTGGTGCTCATGCTTTAACTTATCTCTTCTTTCACAAGTTGCTGGAAACTGTTGCCTGAATCAAGATACCCTCTGCTGGCTCAAATTAGACTGAAGGTTGCAGATTCATGATACACATCCTTAATTTAATCCAAATTTTTAGACTTGTTATAAAAAATTAAGTGTGTAACTTGTTATCTCAAGCTGAAAAGTACCCTTTTATCAGCAATAAGTGCTGGCTGGACATCCATATAAAAGGATGCTTTGACAAATTGGAACGTACTCAAAATGGAAGATGATGAAAGTGTTAGAGGCAAATCTGTTGGTGAAATTCAACAAGCCACCTGAATTGAAACCAGTGGGGTTTGCCCATGCCTTCTGGGAGATATGATGCTGAAGACCCAAAAATAGTGAGAGTGCTCTAGTAAATATCTCTAAATGAGCTAACTCTTCAATTTTCTCCATTGTTTGGCTGTTTTCAACACCTGAAGGAAAACTGAAAAACCAAGAAGCATGAAAGTGGCTTACTGAAGTAGCTGTCTCAAGTGGAGTGTGTTAAATGAAAAGGAATAGAAAGGAGAGCTCCTTTCGTTAACAATTGCTTTTCCTATCTGTAACTTTATACATCTCATCTAAAATTTGCTTGTTTGGTGCTGTCACTAAAAATAATGTCCCTTTTGCATGTGATTTATGTGAGGTGAGAGAACATATTGGGACGATACATATTTCTCTACCAACTAGAAATCCTGCAGGAGCAAGCAAAAATATCAAAATTCAAAAATATCACACTTTCATCAGCATTGCCCCCACACATCAGAAGGAGAAGTTGCAAAGGTGTTTTCCATATAGCTCAGATACCAGCCACTTCCAGCATGTAGAAGTTATCCTGAGAGGCTGTGCTACACTTCAGCTTACCCAGACTGGAGGGAACACGCCCTGGACAGAGATCCAGGTGGAGGTTTATAGCCAAAGAGACAAGTGACCTTTTTGTCAGCATCCTGCTATGAACATAAAGTTCATAAACATCTTCCTCTTGCATTCAGACCTCTTTAGATATTCCAAAGACAATAGTTCATCTATCTTCCAGTTGCATTATTAGTCTGTGCAAGGCATTATTGTTCTCACAAGTCCAAGTGAAAATCTGACTGCTTTGAGGGACTTACCTATCCCCAGACTGGAGATAATTTCAAGGTCTTGAAAGCTACTGGCTTCTAATATTGCTTGTGGCAGCTTCAGGGTAAAGGGCAGCAAATCCCTGTAGAAATAAACACAATGAAAAAACAGCAAAAGGATAAACCCCACAATTGTTAGGAACTCCAGAATTCACTTGGTTTTAGCGATTGGATTGGCTCACAATTTCAGCTGTGTTTGGCAAAGTCATGGCTGGTAAGGAATTACGGACATTGTGCCAGCCTGGGTTACTCTGATTTCACAAAAGATCACCAGCTTCTGTGGTGATGCTTCATGCTATAGCACTGACTTAACCACTGTGTCTTGGCTCTGTTCTCTGAAAAGAGCAGAAATGCCTGTCACCTCAGGGGAGGCCACAAGGGTTGAGAAAAACCTTCCCATTAAAAGTGAGGTGCTGCAAATTCTAGTTATTTTTATTAGAAAAGCCAATATTTTTCATGTGGAAAGGTTTTGAGGTCCTTTTTCTTTCTGTTTACCCCTCTCTCACTACTCTACTTCCTCTTTTGGAAATCTCTGTAAGTGCAAGGCATGGCTACACAGCAAGACACAGAGGGATTGGGAAGAGAAAGCCCTACCTGGGGAAGGGTAACCCCTGGGTGAAGGGACAGACAGTGAGGAAGTGCTGCATGACACTGAGGAAACACATATCCCTCTAACTCTCTACTCTCAGAATTCTGAGTACTTGGTTTCTGGAAAGATGCTGTATTTCTACTGACAAAAAAAGATAAGAGTTTCTCAGAGGATGTTGGCTGGGGTTCACTGAAACACACCCTAAGTCTCAATTTAACAGAGCCCTTGCTCTGCCAATGAGCTATTCAGGTTTGCCTCTTGCCCAGTGAGAATCTGCTAACCTCGTTCTTGCCTCAATTCCCATTCTAACAAGGACTAGAAAAACCAGTCCGTAAATTATAGCAAGGAATGGTGAAGGATCATCTTACACATAAAAAGCTCTACAAAATATTCTACATGATAGAAGGAACTGTTACAGAAAAACTGGCCTTGTGAGTAGGAGGTCTCTGCTAAACAAATGCACACCCCAAAAAAGCACGTAACTGCAAACCTATCTGTTGACAGATGAATGCCGGGGGCCTATTTCTGACCTTTTAGACAGACACATACCTTACTGATGTTTTGTGTTCTCCATGGGTTCTCTGTGCACTGCTGAGCACTCTGCTGTCACTCACATAAACTGATGTAATCCCTGGCTTATTATTTTTTCACGGCAGATATGAGGTTTAGAAGAGGAAGAGGGTCCATGTACCTTCTGCTTTCTTTGTTATTTTATATGCATGAATAGTTCCCTTTTTTTTTTTTTTTTTTTTTTTTAACATATTAAGATCAGGAAATATTAGGACATTGCCCTAATAGAAAAAAATCTGGTTTTATTAATGGGGCAGAAGCTTGCAGACCAGCCACCAAGTCATCTGTTACCTACAGACAGGTAATATATCCAGGCCAAATTTTTTTTTGAGAAGAGCCTGTCAGCCCTGAAAAGCTCTTTCCAGCTATTCATAGACAATTTACTCCATCCCTATTCTCAGGGCTCTGCATTCAGCTTCCCAGAGAGCTCCTATGAACTGCCAGCAAATGGTAGGTCAGTGTCTTTTTATTACCTGCTTCTCTCAGAAAATTATTCCCTTTTTATCTTGCCTTTTGACAGTAGTCTGGAAAATCACATGAACCATCTGAATGTGTATTTGATACTCAGAAGTGATATCTATAACAGGAGCTGAACGGATGCCTGTGAAGGCTGACCTAGAACAGAGGCTAGACAGAGTTAAAGGATAAAGTAGGGATTTATTAAAACGCCTTGGTAGATCCACCTTGGCAGGACAAGAGCCCAGCCAGGGCTATATGCAAGATGAGCCCAAAATGGTCACAAAATGGACATGGTCACGAGGCCTCTCACTTTTAAAAGTTCTGGTCCATTTGCATATTGGAGTTAATTGTCCAGTTACAGCTTTAGGTTGTGAAGTTCCATCCCTCTTGCTTTTCTCTTTTCAGTCCATGTTGTTTATGCTCTTGGGCCTGAAATTTGGGTTGGTTGTCCTTGTTTCCAAGTTAGAAAAGCAATTGTTTTTCTACCTACTCTGTGAAGACAGCTTTCTATCCCTTAATATGAAGCTCAGAACTACACACTAAAGCAGTACAGAATCTGAAAAATATAAAAGCTCAAACCTAAGGCATCAAATCTAATAACTCCTTCTTTTTTTCTTTCTCTCGCCATGATCCTTTTTGCAGGAAAGCAGAAGTGAGCATATTTTCTGTGTCACCAGCCACTTACTAGAAATACCCAATTCTATTTTGCATTTGGGCTGTTCTTTGCTTTAGTGAGAAAGAAATCTTTATAAAGATCCAGAGGTTAATTTGTGTCTATTCTATAGGGTCTATAAACATCTAGGTAGTTAAATGTCTATTAACTGATCAGGGTGAGGTGGAGCATGGTTTCCTCTGTGCAGGCAGGAGTTGTGGCTCAGCAGTGCTGAACTCAGCTGGCTGCAGGAGCAGCTCTCAGAAGAGTGGGGGACTGGCTGGGTAAGCTGTAGCACTCTGTATCCTACCCCAGACAGACTGTTCCTACCGTGTGACCTAACCAAGTGACTAATGTCACTGCCTTGTAAACATATCCTGAATCTGCTTTCTCCTCTTAAAAGGAAATAACTACTTTAAGAGTCATGTAAGTTTATATAGAGGAAGTTAAAAGTCTACAACCAACTCCCAGCCAGGCCGGCTGCAGTAGGGATGAGGTAAATTGGTGGAGGTATTGCTGCAGTGTGCTAAGCACAAGGACACAGATCAGAGAAGGCTTCAGACATCATCAGCTGCTGATCAAACCTTGCACTAGTGAAAATGACATTACAGGCCTTTTCCATCTCTGTACCAATTATTCTTGGTATTTCTGTGCTGAGCAAACAAACACTTTTCATTTCAAATTTTACCTAAGAAAATATGTTTTTTCAAGACTACTTTCCTTGACAAATTCCCCATAGGTGACTAAGTGCTTTGAGTCACCAACAGGCAACAGTCCGTCGGTAGCTTTGCTAAGATGCTGCCAGGGGTGTGTGTATGTGTGTGTGTGTGTGTGTGCTTAAATCTCTAAATCAATATTTAACTCAGGGCCCTTCTTCCTCCCTGCCCTCCTAGCCTCAGTTCTGTGCCTCTGTTCTCTGTGGAAGCAGCCCTATGGACCAAGCTTCCAACTGCTGTGCTTGTCGGGTGATCTGGCCCCATTGCAGAGACAAGCATCTGAAATACTTTCAGGTCCGGCAGGCTGGAGGGTACAGAGGAAACAGAGGGGTCTGTGCTGGGACTGGGGACTGGGGAAGGGCAGGCCAGAGGGGAGGGCAAAATGGCTGTGCCATGGAAGCAATGAATCCAACTCACCTACTGACACAGTAGAAGGCGACCAATTTGAAAACATCTTCAAATACAAGGACAGATCCTTCCAGGTACAGGACTGGTGAAAAACAGAAAAGAAAATCAGCAGCTGATTTCTTTGAGCTACATGATAAAAACAAACAAACAAACAAACAAACAAACAGGTAGGTTTGGTTAGCACATCTTGTGTTCTGTGACAGTCCAGTAATTGCATGGACTAATAGGACAAAGCGTAAGAACTTGCTTCAGATGGCCAAATGCAACAAGATTCTTCAGGGAGACACTACAGAAGAAACAGCTCAGCTTGGCTTTCTGAAAAATTAGCTCAAGATATCCAAATGTTGTGACATTAACAGAAACAATGGGAAGAAAGAAACCTCCCAGCTCGCTTCCAAAGGGATCCTTACAAGCCCATCTGTCTCTAAGGGTGTGCATATCTGCAATACATACAGGGCTGACATTGTGACTCCCCATGCTGGAATCTGGTTTGGACTGGATGGACAAAGTGCTTTGAAGGAAAAAAAAAAATAGGAATTACTGTTTCATTACTGTGTGTGTGGGCTCTGACCTGGGTCACACAGGCAGTGTGAGTATAGCCTATTTGTATCTCTTCTGTCTTCTCCCTCCCATGGTGTTATTCAGTGACTGCACTCCCCAAATACAATCCACCGTATCAGAGAGTTCTTTAAGATGACCTTGCTTAAAGACCTGCATTTGGGCATTGTGTAGCCCAAATCTCCCATGTTACTACAGAGCTTTTGGCTTTTAAACTAGAAAAAATTCATTGACCAGTGGAGAATGTTTCACTGACTGGCAACCCAAGACAGAGATAAAGACCTGGATCTGCAGGAGAGATGTGTCCATCTTTGCTTCAGCCTTACAATCTCACCAACTCTATGTCAGTCTGCAGCCCCACTACAGACATTGACAAGGGTAAGGAAATCTGCAGTGGATTCTCAGAAATGCCCACTTACTGGTGGGAAACAACTATCTCAAAGCTGCACTCCAGAGCTGCCACAGAAGCATGCCAGGAGTCCCTGGAGAGCAGCACCACCTCCCACCCCCATGGCACTGCCCACAGATGCTGTGCATCTTCCTTCATCTGTTCTAGGCCACAGGTCATTGCTGTGGATTCGAAGCTCAGCTATTGTGATTCAGCTTCCTCAGTCAGCCGTGATTCACAGCCCTGTGAGCTGTCTCCAGCCCCTTGTCCTGCCTGCCTGGTGCTTGGTCTCCTGCAAAGAAGGGCCCCAGCACCTGCAGGAAGGAGACATCCGCCTGGCTCTCCTCTCCTCTCCCTCGCCTCTGTGCCCTGGCTTTGTTTTCCAGCCAGCAGATAATCTCCCAGCAAGGAAATGCTCAAGATTGTCTCTTGTTCAGGTTCATATCTCATTCCCCCAGACCAGGCATTTCCTCCTTTTGCTTCTCCCTTTGTTCTAGCCCAGGCCCAGCAGGTTGTTATTTTGGGCTGAATACTCCAATGTAGGCATTTTTTATAGACACAAAGACCATGTAATTCTCAACAGTCATTCCTAGCATCAGTTTATGTTGGATCAGCATGAGCAGTTTAACCTCAGTGTATGCACCCATACCAGACAGCAATGTGGAATTTAAAACATACTTCGAGCAAAACAATCCCTTTCCCTCTCTTTTCTCTCACAACTGGAAAAATCATATTTGGCAATTTATTTTTTTTTCCATAATAAGAATCATATTTCAATCAGGGATTTTCATTTAACACCTACCATGAACAATTTCTGTAGTTTGAAACCCATCTGCTTTGCAGTTCTGATACAGGAAACAAAAATAAAGACAAAACCCAGTCCTGTCCTGGAGAATGAACCAAAACCCAAGAGTCTGAATTTGCTTGAATCTCCAGCTGTTAAATAAAGCCCTTTGTACAGATGATGGTTTTAAGAGAGTTTTTTTTTCTGTCAAGAGCTACATGCTCACTTTGGCATTATGAGTTGCAGGTGTCCATAACAGACCAGGCTGCACCTGTATATGCTCACATATATGGGCAAATTGCTTGGATTGGGACTACTGATTGTTTCTGGGCCAGGAAGCTCTGCCACTTGGGAGCTTGTATGTTAGACAAAAAAATACTAGTCTGAGTGCCTCTGTGTCAGGAGTTTCCACATATAAGTGCCTTGCCATTGCACAGCTACTTCTCCTCACATATATAGTTAAATTGCATAAAACACCACAAATGACCAGGAATTATACTGCTAAGGAACACTAGATACAAAAAGCTGTTGAAGCTCAAGGACAGAAGTTTTCTGCAGGTGGTATATATAAATAGGACTGTCCCTGCTCTGGGAGGTCACAGAAGGTAACAAAACCAAGCATATTTTTCGGCAGGCTGGAATTCATCATACAGAGACCCATAGCTCTCCTGGGACATTTCTGGGCAGCCTGCAAACAAGTAAGAACAGATGGAAGAAGAGTAAGAATAGTGCTTTAGATGTGTCATTACTCGAGGTACTAAGACCATCAGGACCAATACTCAGCCCAAAATTTATTCTGAGCAGTGGCCATGTCAAGCAGCCTGCACAGGGTTGCCATAGCTACTTGGATCTGCTCCCAGCAGAGCACCCATGGGGAAATTCTGCCTTGCAAACTCCTGTGGGGAACATCTTCCTTGGGAGAAAATATAACACTTTTCTCTTAACCTGTTTTGTTTTTTTTTTCTAGACACTTGCTGACACCAGCAGACATCACTGATAAGGAGTGCTTTTCTTCTGGATGGCAGATGATGGCTATGATAGGAACTTGTCTTGTGGGAATGGTTGCCATTCACCTGTGGAGACCATTTTGTGCATCCTGCTGCATGTTTCTAATTCTTGGAAAGACACAGAAAATAGCAATCTTGAACAGCCAAAAGGGCCCTTCTGACTGTTGGGGTCAATATTTCTGTCCCTCAGAGCCATTGCTGCCGTCAAGTCACCCTGCTCTGGGAAGACAATCAGAAAGAGGTGATATTCTCTGGCTGTGGGTGTGTTGTGGGTAGCTGGGGACATTTCATTGACATGAGAACTGCTGCTTAGGGGGCATTGTGATGTTGCCATTTATAGGAATTCATGACTTTTGCAGAATCTACAAGCAGACATCTGCCAGACTGCTGTAATCCTGATGAAAAGTGCAGAGAAAAAAATTTCACCTTTTTTGGGCTTGTAAAACTAGATCCAGGACACCTTAAGAGTGAGGAAATATCTACATCTCACCATAGCAGTGCCTGAATGTCAAGAATATGATCAAAAGCAAGAGAAAAAAATAGGCTGGGTTCTGTGAGCCAAACATATTGCCACAGCATATTGAGTTTTACCTGATATTTAGAAGCCCATTGAAAAATGTCACCTACAGGAAATAAAAGTGGAAATGTGTAGATCAGTGGGCAATTTTGAGTAGTCTGAAACAAAGAGATAAGAATTAATTGAATTTTTCTTATGGGCGACAGAAGCATTTGCAACATGAATTAGTGGTTCATTGGTGACTATACTCTCTTTTCGTGTCCTTTGGCAACTCAGTAGAGGAACAGAACTTGGCTAGGTTATGAACTGTTATATATATTTATGATTGTCTCATCTTCCTCTTTCAAACACCAACGTGGTCTGAAGAGTGCCATCTTTAGGCACTGACTCGGATCTGTATTCGTATTCCCTTTACTCTTTTGATCTCCCCATAATTTCTCCATCCAGATGCAGATGTCTTTGAGTCACACTGTCCCTGAGCATTCTGCTTTCCTTTCCTCTCTGATTTTTTCCCCACAGAATTGTGTTTGCTGGTTCCATTTTTCTGGTACATGGACAAACCAAGACAATTTCCATTTTAGTGCTTACACAGGCTCATGGGACTCAATTACTTCAGCTTCTTCTTCATTTTTTTTCATTTGTTTTTGGTATCTGTGTAGTCCTTCAGAGACATCTGATTTCAGAGACATGAATTCCTTATTCTGCAGCAGTTATGTCGACCGAGGACTACTGAGAAAACAACCATCCTCAGAAGTCCTGCCTGGATGTGCTTAGATGTTCTCATTCTTCCAGAATCTGGGAAGCTGTGAGATTTATCATTATGGATGTGATTCCAGTTTTCTATTTCTATTTTCAGATTATAAATCCAGAGTCTCCTTACAAGAGTTGTTTTTCTCCTTTGATAAAAGTCTCTGGTTTGATACCACAGTGGCCACAACCTTTGCAAAAGCAGCACAGGCCAGCTTTGCTGCTGTTCTGCTACCCTCAGAGAGTAAACCTTGCTGTGAGGATGGGCTCACTTCAAGGCAGAGGCTACCAAAATTCTTACTCCCAGACACTGACAGCTCAGGTTAGCGGGTTAGCAGTTTCCTGCCACTGGGGAAGGAGCCCAGGGTATTTCAGTGGAGTGTTACAGTGACTGCTGTGGCCCCAAAGCTGAGGCTGTTGTGTCTGTCACCATACACTGTGCTTGTCCTACCTGCTGTGCTCTGCAGAAACGTGTGAGAGTGTGACGTAATTCCTTGAGGTTATTGTTTCAGTTCCCCAGTTCTGACCTTTATTCATGCAATTGGCTCGTGGTGGTTTTAAGACAAAGATCCTCAGCTGGATGGTTCTAAAGAAGGGAAATTAAGACTTCATTGGCAGACGTCCTTAGTGTGTTTAAGGTACCTTTCTGCAACATCGCTGTTGGGAAGTTCCTAGTATTTGTCTCTAGCATTGCTTAGTGTGTTATTTCTTGATGACCTTGTGGATAGTAGTATATGGCCTTCTAATGCTGTGTTTTTCTAAAACACTGACACTGTTTATCTTTTTTCTTTTTTCTTCTGTTTTTCTTTTTTCTTCTCAAGGTCTTTTTATTTATTCTGTAATCTGATGCCTCTGCTTCTTCCACATGATTTCAAAGCTGTAGTTTCAGTTTTGGTTGCACAATTCTAGATTGTCCTAGTCAACCTATGTCTGTTTTTTCTTTCTTATCTTTCCTAATGTGCTTTACTTAACTGCCAGTTGTTTCTGGTTTTTTCCCTCATCAAGTAAGTGCTGAAACTTCACCCATTTGAACTTCTGCCTGAGTCTCCTGTTGTGCACCCAGCTCCTCCTTTTTCAAAAG